AGTAGAAACTTGCGATTTTTACAGGGTGCTCGCAAAATATCAGGCTACAAATGCGAGAAAAATTACTGAAATCGAAACAAACGCTGATTTTTCAGCGGCCGCTAACCGGTGAATCACCTTTAGATTTCAGTAGCTTTCACCTGCAGAATAGCGCAATTTAAAACCCAAATTCTTCAATGAGTCATGTGACGCTTAAACCTCTAAACTGCCCGGACTATCATAACTTAAAGCCAACTTGCATTTTGTAACTTATATATACTTGCTAAACGCATAATTATGGTAGTCAGAGAAGTCAGAGAAGTCAGAGCTAAAGGAAGTATTGTATTGGTGAAAATAAAGCTTTTAAAAAGGAAAATTCAAAAGTCCAAAATATAACTAATGTTTGCTGGGAAAGTATTGCGGTTTTTACAAGATCGATAAACTTCATAAATGATTTATTTTCATCATTTTATCGATACAGTGTGTATAATACATTGATAGTTTTTGTTTTATATAATTCTGTAACAAGCAGGCCCATATGCAAACTTAATCTGGCCATTTTTGATATGTCAGCTGACCAAGATCACAACCATTCAAAAAAATCACGAATCGCTGCCAAAAGGGGGCTTTGGGGCACTAAAATTCGCCCGCCTGATACACCTATAATAACATGTGAGTGGCCCAAAGCCCTGTTGAGACAGTTTTGACTTCGCACGGCATTTTCTCAGCCAAATTGAGAAACCGAGCGATTTTCCCGTGCGATTGGACTGGGAAATGCACTGAGTCCAATCGGGAAAATCGCCACTTTTGCCTAGAAAATCATACGTTATAAAAGCGTATTTATAATCGGAAATTCAATATATAAGTATAACTATTTACATGGAGAAAACTGTTCCGAAATGATGCAACAATTGCACCCTAGTTTAATATTAACACAAACCATATAAGGGAATAATCTCTAGAAAACAAAGCGCCGTTTGTTATCAAGTAAGTGTGGATAATAACATGTAACTATATGAATTGCTTGCAGCGCATTTATCTTACAACAAGTGCGGTTTTGTGGTGGTTTTTCGCAAAAAAACATTAAAAACATCGGTTTTACAGAAGAATACATTTTGCGATGTTTGTCTTTCGAGTACTATGCGAATTGTGCGTGTTTAAACAGATTGAGAAGGCACGGAAAATACCGAAAATCAACAGTAACAATGTGAAACAAGAAAAAAATGGGGTTTTTAATCAAACAACTGAACCGAACTGAACCGAACTAAAAGCGCCGGAAGTACTTGCAATCAATCATCAATTGAGGCCACAAACTGGAATCTTTTCCAGACGTTTCTCCCAGAAAAGTTGCGGCCACCCTCATGTAACTTGGAATCAATTAACCTTTTTCTTAAAACCCAGGCGAAATCTCAATAACTTCGGCAAAATCTCCTTAAGTAAGTTTGGATCCTTGCCAGTTTTAGCACTTTTCCAGAAGGGTTTGAGTGCCATTTGGATGCACACCTTTTCATCTTCGAAGCTTCAGCACAATTATGGCGATTCTTCCTTAAACGGTTGAAATTACGGCAATCTTTTGAACTGGCATTTTTTGAGAATTTTATTTTTTGCTCAGAACCAATTAGAGCTTGAGGCTCAATGTTTGCTTCATTGGACAGACAAACAACGCCGCAGTGTTTTGCAACGGACTTTTGGCAATTTTTCGTTCTATTACAGTGGTTTTTCAAAAAATTAATAGCTCAGACTCACTTAGAGCTACAACTGTTATTTGCTGAGGCCCAAATAGAGAAAAGTCCGCTCCATGTTACTGCAAAGTTGCACTGGAAATTAATTTTCAAGCAATTTGTCGCATTCTTACAGCGGTTTATACAAAAATTAATTCCGCACAGTCGATTAGAGCTATAGAGCATTTTTTTGCACTACCTGATAGAGAAAAACTGGCTCTATGCTACAGCAAAGCTTCGTTCGCAACACATTTGTTAGAGACTTTTGTGGATTTTTTTAATTGGGCGCATGCAAAATGCCGCTCTATTACAGTTGTTTGTCTCAAAATTAATTAAAGGGTAGAGCCATGTATTCTACACCAAAGCATAGAGAAGACTTGGCTCTATGTTGTATGAGAGTTCTATGAGAAGCTCAGTTTCAAGCGAGTTTTGGGAATTTTTTAAACTTGAACTTTTACAATTTGCCGCTGTTTGCCCAAAAATTAATTACTCAAACCTGGTGAGAGTTAGAGTATTGATTTTTGAAGTACTGGATAGACCAAAGTCGCCTCTATTT